AGAATCTACGAGAGAATCTTGTAGCAGCAAGAGCGTAAAAACAGATCGCAAAAAAGCCGAGGACATGTGTTCCCAAGCCTTGGAAAGACTTAGTGAAACTAAAATAAAGGCTAATGAAGACTCTGAAAGAAAAGTGAAAAGGCAGCGAAGAAGCGGAGCTGATGTTACCGAATTTCCACGGGAAAAGTCAGAAAATGAGCTTAAGATCCGTGAAGAGGAGCTCGCTTTGTAAGCAAGAGAAGTTGACAACGAAAAAGAGAAGCAAGCGCAGATGTTTAAAACTCAGGAGGCTATGATGGTGTTGTTAGAAAGACTTGCGAAAAAGTAATTACAAACTAGTTCCCCGACAGAGATGACATTGCATTAGTTTATTCTTCCTTGTAAATTTATTGCAGCTTCAAGTTACTGATTTTGTTTGTTAAAGTCATTTTGCATTTTCTGTTTTTTTAAAGTAGGAGTAAATTCTGTTGGGTTCTGCAAATACGATTTCTACCTATTTTGTTAGAAATTTGTTCAGTGGTTTACACCATTCAAGATATATCTTAAATAAATAAATTATTTTAGTGCTCACAATTATACTTTCTTTGCATTCAGTTTGAAAAAAAAAAGTATTATGCAAAATAAGTAAAAAGGTCGGTGGGGGGGGGGGGGTACACCGAAAGAACTCAGAAGTGTTACTTCTATACAGGCAAGTAAGGCTGTTCCTTAAAAGTGCGCAAACGATATTGTTAGAGGTTATTTCAAACACTCGTTTTGTTGACTATTTATTCATTCTCTCCCTTTTCTACACAAGTTACTATCACGGGAACTAGCTCAGATCTCTCAAGGAAAGTGTGAGTCACCGCTTAAAAAGGTGACGCTTACTGAGCTATCAATCTCTAACCTCCGTCATCCTTTTATTCTTAACGAGTGAATCACGTTAAGCTATGCAGAACGGAGTTCACATACTAAGTAGGTACCTCGAGATGTTTACGCTTTACAAAATCATTTTCTACCTTAAATTTCTGACTCTTGCGGTCAAGTTTGGTCATAACTAAAAACAAGATTGGTAATATAAAAATTCAAATGAACTTACTGACAGAATTAGAATCATAATTGAAAAGATATCTTAAGAGAAAATAGTCCTCGAAGACTGTTACATAACAGCAGAATAAACAGAAAATTTGGAGAAGAAGGGGCGTGCCCAAGGTGCCGCCCCTAAAAGGGCTACGTGCTGTTCATATAAGTTACCCGATTATAAATTCAGTGCGGAAGAGGAAGAGTACTACTTGTTTAGACCTCTAAGAAAAAGAGGTGTCGAACGTGCTAAATTAAAATTTAAGAATTATTTCCCTTATCGGGAATTCGACAACTAGAATATCAGTGGTAAAAGTATAAGGACAGTTATTTCCAGGAAACTCCTGTACGGGATCAATTTTTTATAAGGTAAAGTCATTCTTCTTCGTAATTATACATCTTTTCGCAACCTAATGGCAATATACCAATATTTAGCCGCAAATTGTAATTTACGCAAACACATCTTTCTCCATGTCAAATTCGCGATCAAATTAAGAAAAAGGTGACCGAAATTCTACCTGTAAGGTAAGACCGCCAAAAGGAATAAGAAATTATCTACTGGCTTATTAAAATTTTTACTGAATGGCGTATGGCAATATCTTATTTCCATTCAATTTCCAACATTTAAATAAGTCAAAAAACACCTATCATGAAAAATGCTTGCCAGATGCCAATTTTGTCTTTTTAGAATATGCTTTTTCCCTACTGAGCTCAAACCCAAATTTTAAGTTCTTTTGAAATCTAAAAACTTGAAATAATTTACAATGTCTCCGAAGAGCCATTCCACAGAAGACCAAACAAAGCTCATGGCTTCGCTATATATCTCCATCTGAGCCGTCAAAACTGCATTTCTGAATGGGCTTTGGAGGTTCACTCGCAAAGGATAAGCCGGATCACCATATATACATATGGGTTGAGATCTGCCAACAGGTTGGAGTCTGCCAACATCCCGGCATCATGTTTTCTTCCCTCTGAAAAATACAATGCACGGACCGCGCAGCAAGTTTTTTGAGTGGGGGGCTATTTTTGGCTCCGTTATTTTTGTTAAATTATTTTTTGTTTAATTTATTTTTTATTTTGGCAAAAAAGTGTAGGGCATGATAACCGAAACTGAGAGAACCAACAAGAACACTAGAAATGCAACGACATGATTTTGAAATTTAATGGAAATAGATAGTTAATGAGCGCGTACGACTTTTATTCAGTTGCGACTCAAACCTACTACCTTCCGTTCAGTACTTCGGACACTCTAACGCTTATATACAGTAGACTTGTGGCAAGCTAGCTCGATTAATCATGTCCATGGAGATAAACTTCCTGCATGTTGCGAGCATATGATTATTGATATGAGATTCTTGCTCGCAATGCTGCATTCGTTAGATTTCCTATTCATTTTACTACTGCTAGGTATTTTTGATCCAACTGAGCTTATCAATGGAATTCGCCAGCTGTACAAGACTCGCGAGGGATGGCTCTCACCATTTCCATGGTGTGAAGGGTTTCCGTTTTTTCTTGGCAATACTTTTACAAGGCTTAAAGCGGTCAGAAGAAAGAAAACGAGAGGAGAAATCAGTAACGTATTTGTTGACATGTCGTCAATACTAGACCCGTATGAAGAGTATTCAGCGCCGAGAACAGTGTTGATTGAAGGAGAACCTGGTATGAGAAAAACCGCCTATTTTAAAAAAGTACGCCTACGACTGGGCCACCAAAAAGCAAGCACCTCAAGGTCGCGGCTCCACAGCATTCGAAGCATGGCATTCTGATGTTTGGGAAGCCATTGATGAGCAACTTCTGCCCCGAGTAATCGATGAAGAAGTCAAATCACAATATCATTTTATTTATATTGGATGAGTTATCATCCGGTAATTGTCGATTTTTCTGAATTAATTGAAGGAAGAATACTCCCCAGATGCCACATAGTTGCAACAGAAAGACACGAAACTGGAAAAGAGGTGAGAAAGTGTTGTGACGCGCTGCTTCAGATCGAAGGATTCACTCAAATTCTGCATATAAAAGGATCTGTCACCAAGTACTTTAAGGAAAGGCACGATTTAGCTCAACTGTACTTGGATATGGTTGAATGTGTCTTGAGAAGATGTAGAAAAAAGAAAGGACTATTAGAAACGGAAGAAGACCTGACAGATCTTTACAAACCGCAATTGAATCGCCTCGGGTTGGTAGCGTTGAATGGTTTACTTAACGACAAATTGGATTTGAATGAAAGTGAATTGGGAAACCATGCAAAAGACTTGACTGAATTTGGATTTCTTGCATAAAAGTTTTCAAGAATTATTTGCAGCATTCTTCATTTGTGCTTAGATTCAAAACCAATTTGAATTTGTATTATAATAGTATTGGTGGTACCGGTGTTACATCTATTGCTGAGGCCATCAAAGTCAACAAGACGCTAATCAATCTGGATTTGTCTGACAATGGTATGAGTGAAGCCGGCGCTACATCTATTGCTGAGGCCATCAAATTCAACAAGAAGCTAACCAATTTGAATTTGTGTAGCAATAGTATTCGTGATGCTGGAGCTACATCTATTGCTGAGGCCATCAAAGTCAACTAGACGCTAACCAATTTGAATTTGTAGAGTTAATCACATGATTTCGAGTTCAATTTGGAATAAATAAGCACGAGTGAATTTTTTCAAAGACTAGCAAAACTGAGTTATGTGAAGAGTTTTAGAGACCAGACACTTAATTTATCACCAGGGAGGGACGGTTCATCTTTCTTTCTTTTTTTTTGAGGGGGGAGGGAGATGGGGATGGGATTTCAATGGTTTTCAATGAACGGAGGCTGATCAGTTGCCGCTAACAGAGTTTTAAGGAGGACTATAGAAAATTGCCGCCAATTGACTGTCAATGAGGAATCATAAGTATATTATGGGGGAAGCAGGTAAATTAAGTCGTGACACAACCAAAATCCTCCAGCCCCCCCATAGGCGATAAATAATGAGCGGCACCCTACAACATGAAGCTAGTCTTTCTGAGTGTTTGACTCTGGGTTCAATTCAGATTTTATCTTCACTATTTGAGCTTGCACAGATAAATTGCAAGTTATAGGAACAAGGTCAATAATATTTTAGTAGAGCTTTCTGAAGTATTTATTTTAAAATTTTTATGCTTTTCCTTTGTAAGCGTCAGCTTAAAAATATATTTGAGAGCATTTATCCTGTAATTTAAATCAGTCGCAAAGTTCCTTTCTTTAATCCTCGCAGGACCATCCGACTCTCTGTCCATGTGTTGATTGCGTATAATATTCTGATCAGGTCCATCTAGGTCAGTCCTTCTCGCCTAGTTAGTCTTTGGACGGGTTGATGATGGAGACGTCAAAGGAACAGACTCAAAGGCTTGGTTTACAGTTTAGCTTTGCTGATCAGACTCCAACAATTAGTAATCAGAAGGAGGGAGGTTTTGATTGGGATTAAGTGGCAACTACGAGCGTCGAAGTTGAGAGTTTCTGGCCGTGTTTTTAAGGGGAGGGGGGGAAGGGACAGATTCCGGCCTTTAAAAATTTTAAAAACGTAAGAAGACGAACGCATCACTCGTCAGTAGTTTTGGCAATAAAATGCTATTAGAAATCTGCCGTGCGTGTCTTGTCAACATGCGTGACCTGTAGCAAGAGGTGGTATGAAGTGAATCACGCGTCACTCGTCTCCAGCTTTGGGGGAAAAAATGTTGCTTATTGTTCATGTGAACCTTAAAAGAATGCCGTTGCAATTTTTTGAACGATGTTTCTTCCTGAGGCCGAGAAACGCATTGCAAAGTTAGTTTTATTGCGTGATGGTGTTACCCGATTTTAGGTGTTATACTTCATTTCAGAATGGTCTTATCTGCGCATGTCATGACAACTCCCTTCTCTGAGTCTGTTAGAATACCTAACTTTTATGACTTTCTTCGTTCTCTCGACGGAAGATCAGGAAACAAGGAAACGAGTCGGTGACAACTCACATTGCTATTCATGACAAGGGTTGACGCGAAGAAAGAGCAGGTACAGACAAAATAGTAAAGTTATTCACTCCGTAACTTTAACTTAAACTTCAATAACCCGTTGTTGACTTACGGTATTTCACTCGCGTAAATGCGTATGATTACGAAAATTTTAACACAAGCCTTTGGAAATAAGCGTATGGTGAAGATATACTTGATACATAAGCTACTTTTTTTCTCTTTTCAGGTCGATTGCGTACCCTCTACACGTACCCCTGGTGTAATTATTTCGTTTAAAGCGCCATTCTGAGAGGTAAGTAGATTCATGAATTATTAATTGTGCGCACTTTAAGGTCACTTTATTTGAATTTCATTCTTTAGTAAGGATCTGTTTTGTACTCAGACCAGCTGTTTTACTTCAAGCAGTCGTTTCTGATCTAGATTAAACGGACAGGAAAATGTTTTAGTGAAGATGGGAACACGTAATGCGTATCGGTTAGGGCGGAAGTTGCTATTTTCGAAGGCGTCAGGAAACTGAAAGCGAAACCCTTTCCTCACAGTTCTTTTTCCGGTGCTAGAGAATGACTTCCCTTGCGAAATGGCTTTTGGAATTCCTAGGAATTCCTAGGATTTTCCTAGGAATTCCTAGGAATTTATTCCTAGGAATTCCTAGGAATTCCTAGGAATTCCTAGGAATAAAGGTGTGAATTTTCACGGTAAATTCGGACTGGGAATTCCTAGGAATTCCTAGGAATTCCCAACCATAACAACTCTGGTTCTAAAAACCTAGAAATTCCTAGAAATTCCCAGAAATTCCCAGAAATTCCAAGTTTATAGCCAACAGGACTTGGAATTCCTAGGAATTCCTAGGAATTCCAACTCAGAGAACCAATGAGTTTCCCTGAAAAGCTGTAAATCTAAAAAATTCCTAGGAATTTCTGGGAATTTCTGGGAATTTTCGGGAATTTTTAGGAATGTTTAAGAATTACTGGGAATTTTAAGCAAAAATTTGAGGCTAATGATATAAAATAAATACTTTAAATTAAAAAAACCCAGCTAAAATTCAAGTATTCAATGAAATTTATTTAGAAGCTTAATTTAAGGCTTACATGTAAACTATTTTTGATTAATTATTAACATCAATGTGTGGTAATATTAGGATGGAATTTGATTTATTTTTCTTTTCTTGAAAACTTCATACGGATTAATCCTCATTACAGCTATTCATATAAAATAGTTCTAATCAATCATTAAATTTGGTTTGACACAAATTGTGAATAAAATCTGTTGATTCGTTTCCATAAAATACAATATCTTAAGTTATATTTGAAAACCAAGCACTCTTGGGAGTGAAGGGGCTAATTACAGACAAATAAAATTGATTTTTTGATTAAAATCTTGTTTTAACCGCAACAATAAATTAGAATGAAGTTATCCTAAACTGCAAACTTAGCTGCTGTTTGTACTGTTTGTATTTTTTTTCCTGGGCTCACAATGAGTTGGCCTTGAATGAGGTTGTCAACAAGATCCTTGACCATTTTGTATCTGGATTCCTTGACATCTGAATTTGAAAAAAAATAATATATTAAAATATGTATATTTAAAGCTCAGACCAGGCTTTTAAGATGGCTATGAGGAAAAGGGCATTCATTGGATTCTCAAATTGAGAAATCTCTGTTATATTGAGTGACTTTCATATTGGAGTTAGTACATCTCTCTCATGGATTTTACTAAAAAAGGGCTGAATACATTATTTTGTTTTTACCAAGGAGGGCTTCTTTATGTACTATAAGGTTTGTTTAATAACAGTTCCTATTTTGAATCTTGAATGTTCCCAAACGTGACTAGAGGAATCTTGAAACCTTACTGATAGGTTTATTTCATTGTAAAGCATAAGCTTAAGAAACTGCGGCATGCAAGTGACCGATTCGATTCTCAGAATTATTCTAGTTTCAGTTGCGCCGAGCGTTATGTAAGCTTAATTCAACCCGCTACATCTATTCTTTTATAAGATTTTGATCACGTAACGAATATCGCAATTTTTACTCACCACAAACTTTCAAAATCGTAGCTTTACAGACGGCCATTCGACCCTTGTTTGTACCAGTCAACATGTCAACTGTTGCCCCTTCTTTTAACTCCACGGCGCCAACGACTTTCTTTTCTTTTACAACACTCACGCTATTCTCGTTTTCCCATTGAACCACAATAAAAGCTATCTTTAGAAATGTTATATTAAGCAAAACAGTTGAGAAAAGCGATCAACCGATGAAAAGTACATTCAAAGATGAGCGCCAAATGGAGTCTTCTTTGTTTCCGATCACGGGCATGATCACGTGGATCTTTTAGGACTTGTCATTGGCTAGCAGAGTGAATCCGCTGGCTTGCCGATTGCAGTGTTAGGAGAAGTGCCCAACTACATTCTGACTTCTCCGACCGGTTCTCTGCTTCTAGAAGATGGATAGCTTGGTGATATAAATAAAGATGTGAGCGCACTCTATGTAGAAATAATCGACAAGAATCGATCGTATTACAAATGCTCGTTTTGTGGCCGAAAGTTGTCGAGGAAACAAAGACTCGAAACTCACTTGAGTTGTGTTAATGGCAAAGGTGAGAAATAACACAAGCCAATCACAGTTTTGAATGCGACTACAAATCGTCTTTTACCCTCATATTTATAAAAGAAGGATACCACATTCGGAAGTGTAAGAGATACATAGATGATCCCAGTGTACCAGTACCTAAATCTACAAAGCTTGACCGTAGAAAGCGTTCAGCAACACGTTCCAACACCGCCATCTCGATTCCTCAGTCAGTCGTTTCCACTGAATTTAAAGCAGTATTGACAACAGAGTAGAGTGCGTCTTACAAAGGAGAAACATTTGTACAAGAGACAGAAGTAGCTATATGCGATTACAGAGGTGCGTTGGAACTCTGGTCCACAAATAGTTATGCACTGCCCGAAGTATAAAACAATTTTGTTGATAGCTGACAGACAGAGAAGAACAACAAGTAAACTTAAGAGCTGTTATTATTGAAGTGTGACTAGCACTTTTCATTTTTATATAAAGAAGGACTTGTAATTTGCACCAAAAATAAAAAGATGTAATGTTTTTTGGGAGATCAGTGATTGGGACATTTAAGAAATTAAGTTATGAAAGGAAACTTAGTTGGTATTTCTCACTACTAACAAGTCTTGTTGACAAATATTTTCAGATTAGAGTTTCAAATAAAGTAAATTGAAGATGTCATATAAAAGGTGTTTTTCCTCAAAGGGAACATTGACTACCTCTGTCTTGTCTGCATGCCAAATGTTTGCAAAGTGTGTGGATGATCCACAAGTATTGGAACTCTTACAAAAATGTTTTGTAAGAATAAAAACAGCAAAACAAATTACAGCAATTAGTCATGAAAATAGAGCAAAACACTGAAAAAAGAGGAGCAACAACAATCATGAAAAAAGAAAGATTAATTAGGTGTTGAATTTGTTTGTCTAAGGCATGAAATTTCTACTAAAAGTATTGTCAACAAAAAGTCTCTGACAGAGTTGGAGGCAACTGAGCTTGACTGTTCTAAGATTTTCTAACAAAGGCAACCAGTAATGTAGGTTAAGGAAGTAAGATAACAATGTAATTATTGTTAATTATTGTGGAAGTTGGCAATTTCCATTTAACATAACTGACAGCTGGTTCATGAGAAAATCCATATTAATGTAAAGATTTACTAAAACTTAGTTTGAGTAATAAATTTCATGATCTTTGAGTTATAAACATGTACATGTATGTATATCTCTTGGTAAGTTTTGTATAGCATACCTTTTATTGAGCCAAAGTTTTAAGCCTCTGAAATTACTCTTTTTCTTAAAACCTTCACATTCAAGGTATTGAGAATTTCTTAGAATTTATGTGGACCTCAGGGTATTAAAATTGCCTCAAATTCAATTCCCAGAAATTCCCAAGAGTTCCACACTTCTTAAATTATAGGTAGTTTGTAAAGCTGAGAATTCCAAGGAATTCCTAGGGATTCCAAGTCCTCACAAAACTGGAGTCTTTCTTTCCCAGAAATTCCCAGTAATTCCAAGCTTTTTAAATCAGAGCTAATTTGCATAGTTGGGAATTTTTGAGAATTCCTAGGAATTCCCAGAAATTCCCAGAAATTCCCAGAAAACTGGGAATTCAGTTTGCAAGGGTCATTTGCATAATTGGGAATTTTTGAGAATTCCTAGGAATTCCTAGGAATTCCTAGGAATTCCCAGAAAACTGGGAATTCAGTTCGCAAGGGTTGCCTTCTCTAATTCAATAACATGTTTTCCGAGAACTCGAGTTAGGCATTATTTATCGATGATATTTTTTTCAACAAATTATTGTGCCTATAAATTCAAACTGATAAACCATAGGACATTTGACCACAAGTAATGTTTGGGACAAATCGTGTGGTCTTAGTTATGTATATATATTATGTGGTTATAGTTAACTAATTTTCCACAAAGTGTGACTCTTATTTGATGCATATAAGCTGATAAATCTAACAGTGCTAAAACATAATATTAACAGAGAGGCTTTCTTATACAGAAAACCCAAAAGATAGGGAATATTTCCATAACAAATAACCACTGAGGAGGGTGGGATGGAAAGAAAATGGCGAATGAGGTTCAGTGTGCATTGAAGAGGCTATTGAGCATTTGAACTCTAATTCCAAAGCAATCTTTCTTTGTGCCTTAGCATATAGTTTTACATAGTAACAGGGACCACTGAATAGTCTGCAGATGTTAAATTATGCAACAGCTGATTCAAAGCTAAGTTTCCCAAACACTATTGAAGTTTTCCTTGGCAATTTGTTGAATAAAATATTTACATATTATATATTATATTTATATATTATCCTCAGTTCCCAGTTCAACCTGCTGTGTTTTAAAAATAGCAAACACATGCAGTATCCATGAATTGAAATATCTGAAGGTTTTACCATTATAGGATTCCTCTTGAGTTCAATTATTTTTTAACAACCCCTTTTGAACATGATCGAGTGAAACAGCCTTATGTCATCTATGTCTTTCAGATTGTCCAAAAGCTTTCTTCAGTTCATTTTATTGTTCAATAGCAACAATTACTGCCTTAACCCTTTAACTCCCAGATCCAATTTTTAATTCTCCTTACTGTCAGTTATACAATTCTTATAATGTTAGTTCAGAGGATTTAGTATTGGATCAACTAATTATCCCTGAATTGAAATTTTTCTTAATTCTTGTCATTTATTTGGTTGACTGTAAGGAGAAATTTGGTGTTGGTCACTCATGGGAGTTAAAGGAATAAATATAGCACCTTAAATGGAATTTTTGTGACTGTCAATATCTCTCACATTTGATTAATATTTATTTTATGTTTTTCTTTTTCAGAAATTATTACATGTCCATCATTTTCTGACTGCTCCTATTGTGATTTTTTGAAGGCAGGAAATCTTAACAGGGTAGGTATATATGTTTTTTTTTCCATTTTTCCCTCTTTAATATAAGACATATATGTAAGGATTTTTTGTGTCTTATTCTCATGGGAATGAAAAATGTTTATGTTATTATGGGCTATTCTCTTTTTTTCATGAATATCAGTTTGCTTTGAATATAAAATATAATGTTAAAGTAGCAAGATAGGCCACTAATTAAATCTGCATCAATCTTTAACCAGTGGTTTGATCCTTTGAATTTACGCTCAGGAGTTTAAATTGAATGTTGTCATCCTTCAATAGTGTTTGACACCATGTCTTATTATGATGGACCTTGCAGCTGAAATGCATCTAATGATTAGAGGGTTGCTTTGGTTGTTACAGGTGTAATGACCAGTATAGGATGCAACTGCTCACTCTTATGCAAGGTTCTGTATTTGTGACCTTCCATATGATTTTTGGGAGTAAGGTGATAGCAAGCTTAAGCTCACAACACTCTTCTACTTGAAAACATCCATGTTTATAATTATCAAATTCTTGATTAGCAAAAACAAAGTTGGAACATTTGGCTGTGAATGAGTTGCATTAGGATTTAAAGCAGACACTTCAATTACTTTTTTTCATGTGGAGGTTACATACTTTTGATGATGTTTGTAGCATATTGAAGCACAAAATCTAACTCAGTGCTGGACTAATTGTGACAATTACATGTAAACAATCCAATATGTTCAAGATATTCATAAATCACAGTTACATACAGCCAAAATGTTTGTGTAAAAGTATATTTCATTGGATGGCCAGAGGGGATGGTAAAAATAATGAAAATCATCATGGCCCATACCATTTTACAACTGCTTAAATGATGAAATTTACAATATTTCATATCTAGCCCAATCAAGGATTTTTAGATTAAGGAGACCCTTAATTGTTTAAAAAATAGTAATCTGAAAGTTGACTTTGTGGAAAATGGCTAAGAGAGGTTGTTTATTTTTGTCCAATGAAAAGCGTGTGAAAATGGCTGGCACACTGAAAGGTTTAAAATGATTTAAGTAAGACACATGTATTCATTAAATCTCACCAGAGGAACAAAGCTAATAGAACTCAACACAAGGAAGAACTTATGGATAAGATTTTTTCTAAAATGGGTGTACTTTGTACGTGTAAATGAGAGCAAGTAACATAATTTTGTTATGGATATTGCATAATGTCCATAATAAAACCAGTCCTCTTTTTTTGTTTTCTCTGAAATTAAAAACCATTTTTTTGTCAGCCTGGCTCCTTTTTTACTTTCTAGGGGCCTAAACTTGAGTGTTATAAATTATCGAAATCCTGGAAAACACATGAAAACATAAAGCCCACTTCATGTAATGGACTTCATATTAAAGACATTATATTACAGACATCACATTATAGACATATTGTATTGTGGACATTATGACTGCATGACTTTAATTATGGTAATTCTCCTTCAAGAAATAAATGCTACATGCATACCAATCTTGTTCAAATTTATCACATCCAAGTTTTCAGTGCTTTTAACTTAACACCATTAACAATAACCATAACAACAACTGTACATTGATTAGGAGAAGTAACACCACGCTGACATGAGGAGTATAAATTTTCAAAAAGTGTGAGTCCAAGTGTGAATTAAGTTTTCTGAGACATACATGTATATTTAGAATCAGCACCTTCTTTTATAATATCTGAAGATAGCAAATTAAAATATAGCATGCAATGTTTCAGAAATGTAGCTTAAAACAAGCGATACTTCAACTTTCAAAGGCCATTGCACTGATAATACTATAGAGAAAGTTGTCAATTCATGCAGTTCAGTGCAGTGTAACTTTCCAAAATAGTATCTGAACTGGCTAATATTAACAGTCAATGAATAGTACTCTTACGAAAAGTTCAGAACAATCCAAGTTTTGTAATTAAAGCAGTGTTTAACTACTGCAATCTGCAGCTAGTTTGATTATTTATTTGAAAACATTTTCTTTTTGAAGTTATATATTTAAAAAGCCTCTTGATATATGAAAGACTTGGAACATGGAAACATCCAGTGCCTTTAAGCTCTTTGGAGTCATAGAAGACTCTTCTCTTGTGGACAATATCAATATTGCTTCTCACAGGCCAGTTAAATGTTTTGACAACTTGGTGAAGAAATTTGATTTCAACCTCATTATCAGTAACCCTAAGGGCTCTTCCATATTTAAAACTTGGTGTCACACTAGAAATCTGCACCAGAAAGCAAGAATCAAAAGACAGCAGAAACACTAGTTAGAGCATGCTCATTAAAACTGAATTGTAAGGACCATGCTCTTTATGGAATACTAGATACCACCATTACATGTACACCTAAGTTTAGTATTGATGTTATGATTATCAGCTGAACCAAAAAAGAGAATTAACTTGTAATTGGGCCTGATTAAGATAACTTTATCAGTTCTGACAAAGTCAATTATCAAAAGTTCATATTAAATAATATTCCTTTATTCTTACCAGTGTAAGAAAAAGTTCCACAGCGTAATGTCTGTAACAAAAATTGTGTAATGTCCATAACAGGAAGTTTTTACCTCAAACACAAAATCTAACTACAGAATAAGGAATACAACTAGATTTTAAAGTTATGCAATCTGCACGATGTGTTGATGTGTTGTGTGTGTGTTCTCATCTTTGTCCCTGAAATCATATGGAGGGTCACATTTGGTCAGCCTTTGTGAATCATGGTGGTTTTTGTTGTTGTTGTTGTTGTTGTTTTTGTTGTTTGTTGTTGTTTTTAATTCTAGTTGACTTTTGATAATTATAAATGAATAAAGGGGGTATAAGTTTCTAAGGAAACTGTGGTACTGCCTTGGTGGGAGAGTATACCAGGATAATTTAGTATTATCAGTTGAGTTGATAAGGTTTAAAAAGATGACATTTTGAGTGTTAGCCCTTTGTCAGAGCAAGCAAATTGTCAGCTTTTAACCTCATCGCAGAGGCAAATTTACATTTATTTATCAACTTGGCTGACAATAAGAAAGTACTTTGATACAAATATATAATTTTGCCATTAATACCACTTATAACCTTGGGGCACCTGTTAGTGCCCTTATTTGTGACTGTCATTGTCTTTCATAACTGATATATAGTAACTGTTGTTCTGCTGCTTGTCTTTTCAGACTTTCTGACTTTTTCCCTGATTCAAGGGTTATTTTCTTGAACCCAGAAAACTCTATACAAGGTAGGAGGACTTGCTGCTCTTTTTTTCTCTCATTTTTGAAACTTGCCTTTATTTTGTCAATCTGTATTAACCCTTTAATTGTCATGAGTGACCAAGACAGAATTTCTCCTTACAATATCAACACAATATCAACCAGAGAAGTGATGAGAGTAAAGAAATGTATAAATTTGGGGATGATTAGTTGATCCAATATTACTGTAAATTCTCTGAACTAACCTTATAAGAATTGTATGGTTTGGAGTAAGGAGAATTACAAATTTGATGTGAGAGTTAAAGGGTTTACTTAATAATTTATTTGCAGGGAATAATTTTGTCCTGTTTGCATATGTTTAGAATTCTGCATGCTTTTATTTCACTCATATCCGTATAAGTATCAATTATTTTTTCTGGTGATGTTATGTCAAGAACTATGCATTATATTACTTACCTATTTAATTATGTTGTGATCGATGGTTGTGATTATGTTTGGCTACAAACATGTGGAAATACTCTTAGAAAATGTTGCTGAAATTCTGGTGGTCCTTTTAATAAACTGCTGGTTTAATTACTGTGTACAGCTAGGTTTGTGGAGTGCTTTAACTGTATGTTGACTTATGAATATTAACATT